CACTTGTCTTAGGTGGGTGCCACGGGCAGCTGGCTGGAAGCACAGCCCTTGCTGGGAAGCTCCAAGTTGTCCATTCCTGCAAGTCCCTCCTTGCTGGTGTCCATAGAGGGAGGAGCCCTTGCCAGGATGGCACTGGCAGACCCATGTGTTTCTTGGAATTCTAGCACTGACTGATAGAGTTCTTTATTCACAATGCCTGTTGTGGTTTCCTTTCTTCAGCAGCTCTTTCATCTAACATGAAGTGCTTAGAGTTAAAATAGCAGAATTTGCCAGTTTAAAAGAGAACAAGGGAAAGAAACAGCTCCAGCCCAAATTGCATTAGGGCACAGGAACACGGGAGGAGGGAGGAGGGTTTTCAGGTGGTTCCTAAGCTATCTCTGTTTGTACCCTGTTGAGAGCAGAATCAGCAGCAGCCACTTGGTTGTTTTCAGGGCAGCAGCTGTTTGTGCTCCTGCTTTGAATGCTCTTAAGCCAACTTGGAGGGTGATAGCCTAGCCTTCCTCACTCCTCTGCTAGAACTGCTTTCTGAGCTGAGGTTTGCATGCAGCACAAGGGGCTCACCCAATCTAATTGTATTTTCTTTTCTTTCCCTTCTCATGTGCATCAATGGAAGTTTCCTGAAGGTGAGTTGATGTTTGACACTTGGTAATGGACTTTGATCTAGAATGTAATCATGACTTTTATTCTTTTCCAAGAACCTGGAGCAACAGGGCTTGAAAGTGCTTTTAGGAAAAGGCAGAGGACAGGCTCAGGCTGCTAGCCAGTGTCTTAGAGAATGGATGTAATGTGTGTGTGGTGGCCTCTATCAGTCACAGTGGAAAATCCCTGCCATAAGAGTTGAGGCCTGTTACAGGGCCTTTTAAAATTGATCTCTCTTGAACTTGGTCAAGATGTTGCCCACAAAAACTGCATTGGTTACTGGGTTTGGTGCAACAGGTCAATAGTTGTACACTTGGGAGAGACATTGATTGTTTCTTTCAGTGCTGCACTTTCAGTCTGGCTGCTCAGTGCCATTTCACCTATCAGACACGCTCACTAGCAAAACTTCAATTATTTACAAATTTGAACAAACCAAGAAATTAGTATTGATTGGTTACAAGTGACACGGCCATTTTCCTAATTAGTCTTCTGTCTTCTTTTGGTTCCCAGTTGTCTCACTTCTCCCTAGAATTAGTCCAGTCAGTCCATTGCTCAGTCTCTTCTTTTGGGCTGGGCAGTTTCTTGAGCTGCTGCTCCTTGAGTCGGTGGTCGCAATCTCCCCCTGCAGGAATTTCTTTTTACCAGACAAAGCGGATTTCAGGAGTGTTGGGTATCTTAGTGGCTTCCTTATCTTGGGACTTGGGTTGGATATCCTTTTGGCCCCTCAGTTCTGCATTCTTTGTGCCCACTCTCAGTGAGCATCCTTCTCCTGAAGCTTTGTGAACCTTCCCCTGGCTCTGAGCTCCTTGAAGCATGCCAAGGCCTGAAGCTTAACAAGGCAATTCTACCAACAAGGAGTTTGTTTTTCTAACCCATGGGCATCACTGAGAGTTTGGTTGTTAGTTGCTGTCTATTTCATGGATTAAATCTCCCTTCCGCTTGATTGGGCTTGAAAATACACAAGGGTGAAATAGATCAATACAAAGAGCATCCTTCCTTAAGAGCTCTTTTACATGTTCTACAGTTAGTATCACATAGAACTCCATTTTCAAATTGCCTTAACTCAGGAGGGACATGATCACAATGTTTAAGGGGATAATGCTCCAAGTAATTTTGTAGTTTCCAGGGACTGTCCTTGAGAATCACCTTTTTAGCTGGGTGTAGAGTGAACAAAGCAAAGGTTTTGTGTTGCTCTGTAGCAGAGCAGTTGTCGTACTGTGTTAGGAACAACCAGAAGTACGATATGACTCTCTTAGTTGCTTTGTCCAAGAGAGCAAAGTTTATTATTCCATATCTTCTTTTATAGATGTGTTTCAGAAGGTCTGAGAGGTAAAACTCTCACTGGTCCTTAAACTTACACATCACTATAACTGGTTAATTGGAACAGCACCCCTTGACTGTTTCTTGTAATGAAACAACAAGGATTCTAAACAGCACCTGCAAAGATTGCTGTCCTTTATCAAGGACTACTTGGATTTTTCATTATGATTTCTCAGGCCAGAGTGAGAAGCTTTGTGTGACTTAGTTTCACACAGACTGTGTGTTCCTGCTTGCTTTTTGCATTTAGCATTCACAAGTAGTCCCAATGTCTGGAAAGGTTCAGCCTTACTCTTTGGGAAAGTAGTTCGTTTCAGATTGTTTTTAACCCAGATGAACAGAGTCCATTAAAAATAGGAACCATTACTGACTATTATTTCTAGAACTCATTTCAAGGGTAGCTCCAGGGAGAGAGAGAATAATAGATGTAACTTCTGAAAATTCAGTTACAGTGCATGGAGAAGAAAGGAGAAATGCTGCACTGAACAGCCAGGAACAGGTGGATGGCTCTGCTGATGGCACAGGAGCTAATGACGCACCTGTGGCTGATGCAGCCCCTGCAGAACACGGAGCAGAGGAGCACGCTGGAAGTTCAGCGTACGTATGGCTCATGCCCTACCAAACACGGAACTTTGTGCTTTTCTTTATTTTCTCAGTAGGACTAAGTTATACTGCTATGCCTGGTTTATCTTTGAAGATTTCACTACTCTACTTCTCCCTACTCTACTCATTTCCATACTTCTCCTGTGTTACATGATGATCAAATGATACCATTTGCATTTAGGGAGAAAAAGGCAGCCCAAGGCAGACGCCACAGAACCTTAGGGATGAGAGTGGGGCTATGGCAAGGAAGGGCATTGGTCACAGCCCATAGCTCAGGATTGCATTTGCTTATTCTGACAAGTTCTAGTAGCCATGTTAGATACTTCCATTGCTAGCAATGAGGCTTGGCATCATGGGGCCAGCAGGCAGCAGCTGGGCAAATTCCAGCAGAAATTCCCTGCTGGAACGCTGCCAGATGGCTCCCTTTCTCCTGCAGCTGGAGCCATTCTTCCCAAGGTACACTTGCACACAGGCAGCTGTGGAGGTCCTGCTTTTATGGCCAGTGCCGGATGTCACAAGCCCTGATTTCTTTGCTTCTGGCATGGAGATCTTGCAGTTCAAGTTGGCTGCCTGCACAGTAAAATCCCCGTTCTGCAGAGAGACAGCAAAGTCCTGCTCTAGGAGCGCTCCAGCAGAATAAGAAAGATGCAATGCATTAGGCTGATTAAATTAAACCAGGTGTCTGTGTCACTAGGGAGGACAAAGAACATGAGAATCATGAAGGAAGGTTTTCTAAAGTGTTTTTTGGGGGTGAAAGGGAAAGGCATAGGTTTAAACAAAGCTGGTGGTTTTGAGCCTTTGGGAAAGGCAATGTAGGAGAGAAGTTGAGTATGGAACTTTTAGGTGTCGAGTCTTAAATATGCCACCTAAAGGACCTTCACTATTCTTAACACTAATGCCTTTTGCCAATGAATTTGGACATGTTTAAGTTTTGGTTGTTGTGTCTGCAGGTGAACAAATCCCACCACTTGGTTCATATAGAAAAGGAATACTTTGTCCCTTCAGTTCTCTGTTCCAGAATGGAACTGCTCTGAAAGAACTCAGTGCTGCAATATTCAGCACTGACCAAAGGCTCCTTCCTGGGGCTGGATCTTGCCAGAGCCATGTTACTCTATAGCATTAGAACTGGCTCCTGGAATGAATATTCCGGGCTGAATAGTTCCCAGAGGACAGCTGGATGCTGTAGTTCCAAAGCTGTTCCTAATGAGCCGCTGCAAGTCCAAGTTTCCAAACACCAACTGGCCAGCACTGGAGACTGCTCTTACTTCAAATGCCAGAGATGGGTGACTGACTGCACCTTTCTCCTAGTGAAAACCAGGATGCTCTTTCCCTCAAGGCAGGGAGAGCCCAAATCCTCAATAAATGCAGAAAACAGAGAGCTAAAGACAGCAGGCTTCTTCAAAGGAAATGGGCCAGGGCTAGTCAATGTAGTTGCATGATTATTTGAGATTTTACCTATCAATTACCATTGAAGTGTAGTGACATTAACAGCTGCACATTCTTTCTACTTCTGTTCCCTCTAGTGCAGAGCCACGAGTTGTTATTAGTTGTCCAATTTGCATGGATTATTACTCAGAGGTAAGGATGCACCTCTTGTCATGCTTTGTGCTTTGTAGGAGGAGGAAGAAGCCAAAAGGGGAGTTGCCCAAGTCCGCTGGCTGATGTGGGCAGCTGGCTGGAAGCACAGCCCTTGCTGGGAAGCTCCACAAGTCCCTTCTTGCTGGTGAATGGAGAGGGACAAGCCCTTGCCAGGATAGCACTGGCAGATGTGTGGGTCCCTCATTGTTCTTAGTGATTGCAGATGCTCTCAAGTCTCATTTGCCTGGTGCCAATAGAGCAGCAAACTCCAATTCTTTCCTCCCAATACATGTGGTTGTTGTTTTCTTTCTTCCAGATTGTACAAAGTGGACGACTGATGGTGGCAACTATGTGTGGCCACATGTTCTGCAGCGCGTGCCTCCCCGTTGCCCTGGAGACCACCGGCATGTGCCCAACCTGCAGAGAGGAACTCGATGCAGAAATGTATTTTCCAATTTATTTATGAGAGTTTCCACTGCTCAGGGCAGTCTCAGGTGCATCTTGGAGAAGAGGAGGAGTAGAGGCCTGTTTCTTTATGTATATAGTTCTTTTTGTACATAGTTTCATTTTTACTGCGTTCAGTTATAAATAAAGTTTTGATTGATTTAAATTTAGTCTGTGTGCTCTTCTGTGTTGGACTGTGCTGATGGATAGAGATGTTGTTTAACAGGTGGAAATAAGGCTCTTGATTTGAGCATTCAGAAGCTCGTTCTTTTCATCACACTGTAGTCACTGTTTTGGGGGAAATGTGCTAAAGCCATGGGCTTTGGAGTTCTTGTGGCCAATAAATAAGAATTGAATAATAATTGTGGCCAATAAAGTGTGTGTTGTACAGGGAAAAGAAACAGGTGCTGCTTGGGATGCAAGGCCTTGTACTTCTCAGGCCACCATCTGGTGGATGTTTAGGTGCAAATGTCATGATTTCAGTGGTGAGCAGATGGAGAGAGGAGCAGGTTGTGCACACACCCAAAGAAAGCAATTTTCTTGGAGAATAACTGGCATGTTAACAAACTGCTGCATTTAGTCTTGCAAGGTTTCATCAGAGTTCGAATCTGGAGGCTTTTGAAGGAATGTGTGTTTGAATGGATGGAGTTGGTTCCTGACTTGGAGCTGTTAGCAGTACACTGTGTTGTAGCTCCATTTCCTTCAATTACAGCAGTTTAATCCTAAGCTACACTGAAGAGAAATGCAATTGTCCAGAGATCTAATACTTGGACATAAGAGAGGAAAGAAAATGACTTCTGTTATATAAAAGTAAAAAAGAGGCAAAGGCAGATCTCAGGTCAACAATGCAACAGTAAATTTGTTGTACCATGAAACAGAAAAGTCAGATGACCAAATTGAACTAAGTCCTCTCTGTGTTAAAATTGGGTTATCTGTGTGGACATGCATCCTTAATTTGGGTTTTTCATTTTTGTCTTCATTGAGTAATTTACCTGCATGCTCAGTCATACTTCAAGATGTCTGAGTATTGCCATATTTAGGCAGAGGTAGTAATAAACAAGGTTCATTGTATCTGCTACTTTTGATCTTCATAAAATAACCTAAAACATTAGTATTAGCCTGATAAAGTGCTCTTTTGATTTTTCCTATTCATGACAACTACTTGAGTTGTCAAAAGTACTCCAAGATAACACTTCAACAGACACACATCAAATGATTTACTTATAGGGTAGCCATAAAGTTTAGACCAATGTTTTCTGTTTCTCGGTATTGCTAGACTTTGAACTTCTTGGTGGATGCAATGACAGTAAGCAGAAATGTCTTTTTAAATAGCTTTATTTGTAGGTGACATGCTATGCTAGGTATTTTCATTGGAAAGAGCATTAAAAGAAAGCATTTATAGTCAAGTAAATTTGATCTCAATTAACCTACAATGAAATGGCACTCAGCTGATTTGATAAGAAGTTGAAATGGATGTTGGTTTGGCTCAACAGCATCAGCTGAGGCAATTTTCTTTTCAAATTTCTGGTGTTTTAAAATTTGTTTTTGATCTTGGTGCATAGTTGTCAGCAGAAGGAAAAGCACATTTTCAGCTCATTCCATGATTGATCTGTAGGCATAGAAGAATTGGGGTTTTTTCAGCTTCAGAAGCCCAGAGCAGAGAGACAGCATATTTGCACTGTCCATTTCTCCTATTCAGTGCTTTGGGACCCATACAAGGAGCTTAATTTTTCATCTATTAAATGTACATTTGGAATTGCTTTAGCATCTTAGCATTTTTCTATAAAGCATTGAATCTCCTTTAGGCTTTTTTCAAAAGATGGAAGAGTCATCCCCACCCATTCCTCAACACTTGATTACCTAATTACCCAAAAGGATGAATTGTAGTAAGTGAGAAATTTTTGTAAGAAATGAGGTTCCTCGTGTAGAGCACGAGCTGAACATATCCTTGTGCTCATCTCCACAGCCCTGGATCAATTTCCACCCTTCTCCCCACACCAGAGGGCACCCAACCAAAGGGACCAGGGGCTGAGGAGCATTCCTGCATCTGGCAGGGCTCAGATGGCTTCCCTGGTGCCCTCAGGAGCCCCAGCCCATCCCTCTGAACACAGAACCCGTCACAGAGTGGCTAGAGGGAAGACTGATTATTAATTCTGGTTTTTTTGCTGTGTCCCCTGGGAGAGCAGAGCAGGGCCTCAGGAGGGAGGTGCTGTCCCTGGGAGCAGAGCAGACCTCATCGGCCCTGTTGGGAAATTGTAGTAGAGTAGTAGTTCAACACCTGACAATGTCAAGATTTCAGAGACTTGAAATAAGGATCTGAATGGTGAGGAAGTTTCACCAGTTTGAGAAAAAAAACCACTCCATCAAACTTGGGTTGTGTTTTAATTGCTATCCACTCCATCAAACTTGGGTTGTGTTTTAATTGCTATTTACTCGGGTTCAAGTTAAAGCTGTCCCATAAGAGTTAAACCGGCCAGAGACCAATAAACCTTGTGGAGGAGGGTTAAGGAAGGGTTTAACTTTCCTTTAGGTTTGGGGAGGTGTGTTTTGCTGGGGGTTCTTTGGGCACAGGAAGGCTCCAGTGATGCTCAGGTGCCTGAGGCTGAAGGCGGCGGGAGGCGCAGCTGTGCCCGTGAGGCCGCGCGTGCGGAGCTGTGTCCAGCTGGGCCCAGCAGGAGCAGGATGTGCCTGTGGAGCAGGGCTGGAGGCGGCCCTGGGGATGTGTGGAGGCCTGGGGCAGCTGTCCCGTGCAGCCAGGCTGGGAGAGCCGGGGCTGTGCAGCCGGGAGAGGAGCAGGGGCCGGGGAGGCCTGACTGTGGCCTTCCAGTGGCCAGAGGGGGCAGAGAGCCATGGGGGAAGGGGAAGGTTGGGATCAGATGTTTGCAAGAGCTAGGAGGGTGCTGAGCCAGTGCAACAGGCTGCCCAGAGAAGCTGTGGATGCCCTGTCCCTGCAAGGTTCCAGGCCAGGCAGGACAGGGCCCTGAGCACCGTGATGGAGCCAGTGGCAGCAGAACCAGGCCATGGCTGTGGTGCCTCCATGGTAATGAGAGACCGCCTGCTTATTCACGACCCTTCACAGAAGTAAAAGTGAACGCTGTTTATTTCTATCGTTGGCACACCTTTTATAGGGTTTTACAGGGCGCGTGGGCAGAGCAAACTACTATTTGCTAACACACACAAGTTTACGTTTTTTCTCCTACACACAAGGATATTGTTTTACTTTACTCTCTCTTCTGCAGAAAGGTTTCAAGGACTTTACCTTTAATATCATGACTTATTTCGAAGGCTGGTTTGTGCACACAGGCCTTTACTAATATATAAAATATATCAACACCATGGCCTTCTGGAACTCCATGGGTGAGCAAAGCGCATCCCCGTTAGCTGGGCATGGAATGTTGGCAGCGGTTGCCAGGGGCACTCCTGCTCCCAAGGTTCTGTTGACACGGCGTCTCTTGAGCCAGTTGACGGATTCTCTGCTGCGCAGCAGATGCGGATTGTCCGTCTTCTCCATCCCTGCTGGGAAGAGAGAGGCGTGTGTTGAGGAGCTTTCTGTCACTCCGAAAACACCTGCAGTGGGCTACCCAAAGGAACCTAAGGGATTGATCCCATCCCTGAAGTTCCTTTTTTTGGTGTTTGTCCCACTTTCTTTGCCGCTGCTTTCAGATCACAAAACACCATGAGCTCCGTAAGTACATTGTTACTCCACGCTGATCTGAATCTTGAAACATTCTACAGGATACTTCTAGGAAGTATTTCAAGAGTTTGTAGTAAAAGCACAAGAATGGAAACCTTTGAAAACTTAATGTAACATGATGTTCTGGAATCCTGAAAGTTTTGGATCTCTGTGGGTGTTCGCAATAATTCAAAAATGCTTACAGTGTGAGCAGCAGCCTGCTAGAATTGGGAACTGGTCGCCACATTTTCAAGCCATTGGGACAAGCTCCTTCTTGCTGAAGCAGCTTGTCGGAGTTCAGGGCTGATGTCTTTGCTCTAAGGAGATGCACTTAAGTGAGAATGGCCCTTAGCACCATTGGATGCATATTGCAGCCTTTGCAGGAATGTTTTGTGTATCCTTGTGTGCTGTCATTGGGGTGGCAAAAAACAAGTGCCACGTTCATATTAGTGCCACAGAAAATGCTAAGGCTTTGTTCTCTCTCAGGGTCAGCGAAAGCGCCCTGGAGAGGTGCTGGATTCCGCTCCAGCTCAGAAACGGAGCAGGCTGCTGGCCTCCAGAGCAGGTGGAACTTGGCAGACAGAGACAGTAGAGCCTGGTAAGAAGAGAAACTGCTCCTGGAGGCTTGGAGTTCATTTGAACATGTGATTTTGCCAGTTCCTAATCCCTTTCCTTGGGAAGAAGGGAACCTTGGGCTTGAGGAAGCACCTGGTATGGCATCCCTAAACAACCAGCCCACTGACAGCTGTTTTGGTTTGTTACTGAACTCTGTCCATTGACCTCTAGTGGCAGATGAGTTGTGTAGCAAAGGCCCCAAGTGCTGCTCAAACACCTGAATGGGTGCTCTGATGAGCTGGCAGTGACTGCAGCTGCCACAGTAGACGTGGCAGGCTGAGTTTGGCAACTCCCAAGCTGGAGAAAGATGAAGAAAATTTAGTCATTAGCTGTGGCCCATTCTTCAGGGCAGCATGGACAGCATGGTACTGTAAAATTAGGATCCCCTCTACATTTGGTAGTTTTTTTCTCCTGTGTGCTAAACATTCCCCTATGCAAGAGGAATGATCTGTTGGTGTGCACCTCCCAGAAGCTGTTGTCATGCAACAGAACTTGTGAGGAGCTCAGGTGCTCTTCCTCTTGTTGTGCCCCTTCAGGGAACAGGGCAATGCTCACCAGGACACATGAGGCAATGCACAGAGGACCATGCTCCCTGTAGACTGCTGAGGGCAAAGCTTGAGTGAAATGTTGGACACATTCCTGAAAAAAAGACACCTTGGGAGCAGGGAATCCAAGCACAGTCTGTTCCACAGTGGCAGCCCATTTCATTCCTCTGCAATCTCTGACCTCACTTCTAACCTTCTCTTTTTCAACTGCTGAAGAAGTCATAGATCTCACAGGAGATTCTCCACAGCCTGAAGTCATCACTACCAGTGACGATGAATCTCCTGTGGTAAGTAGTGACTGGCACACTCCTCTCCATGTTGCATCCATAGGAATTTTCTTGCCCTCTGCAATTTTACTAAGTCCCCTGGCCTCAAAGTTTGAAAGATGGCTCTGATTTATCACTTTGGACACAGTTCCCAGTCAACCCCAAACACACTCCCAAACACATCAGCATGCCTGAGAATCAGTTGCAGAGAGTGGATGAACAAGCTAAAAGAGGTTGTTGCTTCAGTGATTCAAAAGAGAGCACAGGAAGTCTTTGATTTGAAGAAGTGCTTTAGCTGCAGCATCAGTTTAAGGTCCCCCTGTCCCTGAGGTGTAAAAAGCAACTGCAGCTGACTGGGGTACACACTAATTCTGTTTCTTATTCCTCTAAGTCTTTAAAAGGGGCACATTTGGGATTTTTTCTTTTTCCCCTACTATTTTCAAAGAATATACTTTGATCCATTTTGCAAGCCTCAGAGCAGTGTGTCTGCTGAAATATCTGATGCCTCTACTGCTGTGCAAAGCAGACACTTGCAGCAAACATTGCATGGGAGTTATATCCTGACAGGGTTGTTCCTGAACCCATGCAAAGCAAAGGCCTCCAATTTCACAACACACTTTGCATGACCCACCTCCACTTACACTAAACACAAGAGCAGGTTTGGGTTGAGGGGTTTTTTTCTCTTCAGTAGCTGCTCCTCTAAAAAGTCGTGCTCAGGCTATCACAGGTGAACTTGCCAGTTGGAGGGAGAAAGAGGCAAAGAAACAGCTCTGGCCCAAATCCAATTAGGGAACTGAAATAGGGGAGCAGGAAGGGTCAAGTTCCACTGCTTCCTAAGTGTGTCCATTTCTACCCCGTTCTACCCCTGCAGCAGAGCCAGCAGCAGCCACGTCTTTCCAGGGCCTCAGAGAATTCAGCTGAGCCACTGGAAAGGAACAGTGCAGAGGAAGCAAGAGAAGATGATGGGTATGTGAGAGAGAAAGTGTCTATTGAAACTCTGATTTCATATATGTGGTAGAAAGAGGTTTTGGCCAAGCTGTTGGGTTCTGCAGAACTCTGTGCAAATACTTCCGACTGGGAATATAGTGGTCTGCCTGGAGGAGAATTAAAATAAACCCATCAAAATCCAGCAGAAACCTTCCTTCTCTCCTTGTGAAGCCTTAGCTTCTTAGAAGCAGTCCATCTAAATCAGAAGGTCAGGGAATGGCACACCAAAATGCTTGTAGCACATAATAATTCTTGCTGTGGTTGTGTTTCTGGGTGACAATGTTTCTTATTCAGAATAGGGGATGTTTCAAGTGTCAGCATTTTCTTTGTTGGGAACCTTTGGTGCCCAGGGAAATGATTGGCTCCATGTTGAAGTGGCTGTATGTTCTTTCTGGTTCTGTTCCCTCTAGGGCACAGCCAGCAGATCCTGCTAGTCCTCTGAGTAGGGAGGATGACAACTCAGAGGGGCAGGACAGGGAGCTGAGTCAGCTGAACGCACAGGATTCCAGCGAGGCAGAGACTTCAGCTGAGCTCTGGCCGAGTGAGGATGAAGAGGAAGCAAGAGACAACGATGAGTATGTAACAGATGATGTGTCTCCCCAAAGTGTCATTGCTGACATAGACACAGGGTTTTACCAAACTTGGATTCTGCTTGATTCTGTGGGAAGGAATCTGATTTGAACCATAGTGTTCTGTCTGGATGGAACTAATGGAATAAACCCCTAAAGCTCAGCAAAATCCAGGAGAAACCTTCCTTCTCCATTCAGGAAGTCATTATTGAATGTTTCTTTACATTATGGATTGTGATACACTGAAATGCTTGCACACTGCCTGTGTTTCTGGGATGGGGTGTTGCTAAATCAGAATAAGGGATTGTTCACAATTTCTGTGATTTTCTGTCTCTGTGCACTGTGAAATTGATGGCTGCATGTTCTTCTGGTTCTTCTCCCTCTAGTGCATGGACAGCAAGTCCCATTAGTCCTCTAATTCCTGAGGATGACAACGCAGAGGTGAGGAAGCACAGCCCTTGCTGGGAAGCTCCAACTTGCACGTCCCTCCAAGTCCCTCCTTGCTGGTGTCCATAGAGGGAGAAGCCCTTGCCAGGATGGCACTGGCACAGCTGTGTGTTCCTTACAGTTCTCGCATTACACATACTCCAAGTCCTGTTTGCCTGGTGCCAATAGAGCAGCAAACTGGAATTCTTTGCTCCAAATTCCTGCTGTTCTTTGTGTTCTTTAGAAGCTGCTCATCCCACATGAAGTGTTTAGACAGATCCTTGGGCCTTTTTGGGGAGAAAGAGGGAAAGGAAAGACTCCAGGCCAAATCCATTTAAGGAGCTGATACACAAGAGCAGGCTGTTCAGGAATTGTCAGGCGCCTCCTAATCTCTGTCCATTTTTACCCCATTGCTGGAGCAGAGCCAGGCATACCCACTTGGCTCCAGACCAGCCGAGGATGCAGCTGAAGTCCTGGCAAATGAGAATGAAGAGGAGCCACAAGATATTGAAACGTATGTGACAGATAAAGAGTCTCTCCAAAGTCTAATCTCTGCTAGATGGTAGAAAGAGGCTTCTGCCAAGCTTTATGACAGTTCTACTCTGTAGATGAAGTCTTAATTGAAGGTATCTTTCAGTAACACTTGAGGGACACTGAAGAGTCGGAAGTACGTAAAAGTAATTGAAATGATTGTGCTGTTGGGCTGGAATGTTGCTAAATCAGAATAAGGGATGTTTTATTTTCTGGCACTTCTGTAGCAGTGACCACTCATGCACGGTGAAATTAATTGGCTGCATGTTTTTCTGCATCTGTTTTCTGTAGAACAAGGCCCTCTGGTAGTCTCCTCTGTGTTATTTGCAGGGGTTGCTACTCACAGGTAAGAATCCACAAGTTGTTTTTTCTGCTTTGTGGAAGGGGAGGGGAAAAAAGGGGAGCTGCACAACTCAGTTGTCTTAGGTGGGTGCTACAGGCAGCTGGCTGGCAGCACAGCCCTTGCTGGGAAGCTCCAAGTTCCTGCAGCCCATGCCTGCAAGTCCCTCCTTGCTGGTGTCCATAGGGGGAGAAGCTCTTGCCAGGATGGCACTGTCAGATCCAGATGTTCCTTGGAATTCTAGCATTGACTGATAGAGTTCTTTATTGCCAGTGCCTGTTGTGGTTTCCTTTCTTCAGCAGCTCTTTCATCTAACATGAAGTGTTTTGAGTTCAAATAGCAGAATTTTCCAGTTTTGGGGGAGAACAAGGGAAAGGAACAGCTCCAGGCCAAATTGAATTAGGGCACAGGAAGAGGGGAGGAGGGAGGAGGGTTTTCAGGTGCTTCCTAAGCTGCCTCTCTTTGTACCCTGTTGCATCAATGCGAGCAGAATCAGCAGCAGCCACTTGGTTGTTTTCAGGGCAGCAGCTGTTTGTGCTCCTGCTTTGAATGTTCTTAAGCCAACTTGGAGGGTGATAGCCTAGCCTTGCTCACTCCTCTGCTAGAACTGCTCTCTGAGCTGAGGTTTGCATGCAGCACAGGGGGCTCACCCAATCTAATTGTATCTTCTTTTCTTTCCCTTCTCATGTGCATCAATGGAAGTTTCCTGAAGGTGAGTTGATGTTTGACACTTGGTAATGGACTTTGATCTAGAATGTAATCATGACTTTTGTTCTTTTCCAAGAACCTGGAGCAGCAGGGCTTGAAAGTGCTTTTAGGAAAAGGCAGAGGACAGGCTCAAGCTGCTAGCCAGTGTCTTAGGGAATGGATGCAATGTGTGTGTGGTGGCCTCTATCAGTCACAGTGGAAAATCCCTGCCATAAGAGTTGAGGCTGAATACTTATGCAGAAGGAACTGGAATTTGGTGACACTTCCTACACTTTGAATTGATCAGTGATTGATTAGTATCACATGGAGAATGCAATTGCAGAAGTCATGGGTGCCTGCATTTTCTGAGAGTTCAAAAGCAAGCAGCATTTCTTGACCCTCTGGCTGCTACAGACCAGACCATTTAAAATTGATCTCTCTTGAATTTGGTCAAGATGTTGCCCACAAAACCTGGATTGGTTACTGGGTTTGGTGCAACAGGTCAATAGTTGTACACTTGGGAGAGACATTGATTGTTTCTTTCAGTGCTGCACTTTCAGTCTGGCTGCTCAGTGCTATTTCACCTATCAGACATGCTCACTAGAAAAATTTCTATTATTTACAAAATTGAACAAACAAAGAAATTAGCATTGATTGGTTACAAGTCACACGGTCATCTTCTTAATTTGTGTTCCATCTTCTTTTGGTTCCCAATTGTCTCACTTCTCCCTAGAATTAGTCCAATCAGTCCATTGCTCAGTCTCTCTCTTCTTTTGGGCTGGGCAGTTTCTGGAGTTGCTGCTCCTTGAGTCAGTGGTCACAATCTCCCCCTGCAGGAATTTCTTTTTACCAGACAAAGCTGATTTCAGGAGTGTTGGGTATCTTAGTGTCTTCCTTATCTTGGGAGTTGTGTTGGATGTCCTTTTGGCCCCTCAGTTCTGCATTCTTTGTGCCCACTCTCAGTGAGCATCCTTCTCCTGAAGCTTTGTGAACCTTCCCCTGGCTCTGAGCTCCTTGAAGCATGCCAAGGCCTGAAGCTTAACAAGGCAATTCTACCAACAAGGAGTTTGTTTTTCTAACCCATGGGCATCACTGAGAGTTTGGTTGTTAGTTGCTGTCTATTTCATGGATTAAATCTCCCTTCCGCTTGACTGGGCTTGAAAATACACAAGGGTGAAATAGATCAATACAAAGAGCATCCTTCCTTAAGAGCTCTTTTACATGTTCTACAGTTAGTATCACATAGAACTCCATTTTCAAATTGCCTTAACTCAGGAGGGACATGATCACAATGTTTAAGGGGATAATGCTCCAAGTAATTTTGTAGTTTCCAGGGACTGTCCTTGAGAATCACCTTTTTAGCTGGGTGTAGAGTGAAGAATGCAAATGTTTTGTGTTGGTCCATAGCAGAGTAGTTGTCGTACTGTATTAGGAACAACCAGAAGTACGATATGACTCTCTTAGTTGCTTTGTCCAAGAGAGCAAAGTTTATTATTCCATATCTTCTTTTATAGATGTGTTTCAGAAGGTCTGAGAGGTAAAACTCTCACTGGTCCTTAAACTTACACATCACTATAACTGGTTAATTGGAACAGCACCCCTTGACTGTTTCTTGCAATGAAACAACAAGGATTCTAAACAGCACCTGCAAAGATTGCTGTCCTTTACCAAGGACTACTTGGATTTTTCATTATGATTTCTCAGGCCAGAGTGAGAAGCTTTGTGTGACTTAGTTTCACACAGACTGTGTGTTCCTGCTTGCTTTTTGCATTTAGCATCCACAAGTAGTCCCAATGTCTGGAAAGGTTCAGCCTTACTCTTTGGGAAAGTAGTTCGTTTCAGATTGTTTTTAACCCAGATGAACAGAGTCCATTAAAAATAGGAACCATTACTGACTATTTCTAGAACTCATTTCAAGGGTAGCTCCAGGGAGAGAGAGAATAATAGATGTAACTTCTGAAAATTCAGTTACAGTGCATGGAGAAGAAAGGAGAACTGCTGCACTGAACAGCCAGGAACAGGTGGATGGCTCTGCTGATGGCACAGGAGCTAATGACGCACCTGTGGCTGATGCAGCCCCTGCAGAACACGGAGCAGAGGAGCATGCTGGAAGTTCAGCGTACGTATGGCTCATGCCCTACCAAACACGGAACTTTGTGCTTTTCTTTATTTTCTCAGTAGGACTAAGTTATACTGCTATGCCTGCTTTATCTCTGAAGATTTCACTACTCTACTTCTCCCTACTCTACTCATTTCCATACTTCTCCTGTGTTACATGATGATCAAATGATACCATTTGCATTTAGGGAGAAAAAGGCAGCCCAAGGCAGACGCCACAGAACCTTAGGGATGAGAGTGGGGCTATGGCAAGGAAGGGCATTGGTCACAGCCCATAGCTCAGGATTGCATTTGCTTATTCTGACAAGTTCTAGTAGCCATGTTAGATACTTCCATTGCTAGCAATGAGGCTTGGCATCATGGGGCCAGCAGGCAGCAGCTGGGCAAATTCCAGCTGAAATTCCCTGCTGGAATGCTGCCAGCTGGCTCCCTTTCTCCTGCAGCTGGAGCCATTCTTCCCAAGGTACACTTGCACACAAGCAGCTGTGCAGGTCCTGCTTTTATGGCCAGTGCTGGATGTCACAAGCCCTGATTTCTTTGCTTCTGGCATGGAGATCTTGCAGTTCAAGTTGGCTGCCTGCACAGTAAAATCCTCGTTCTGCAGAGAGACAGCAAAGTCCTGCTCTAGGAGCGCTCCAGCAGAATAAGAAAGATGCAATGCATTAGGCTGATTAAATTAAACCAGGTGTCTGTGTCACTAGGGAGGACAAAGCACATGAGAATTATGATGGAAGGTTTTCTAAAGTGGTTTTTTGGGGGTGAAAGGGAAAGGCATAGGTTTAAACAAAGCTGGTGTGCTTTGAGCCTTTGGGAAAGGCAAGGTAGGAGAGAAATGGAGTATGCAACTCCATTTTAGGTGTCAGGTCTTAAATATGCCGCCTCAAGGGCTTTCACTATTCTTAAGCATAATGCCTCTTGCCAATGAATTTGGACATGTTTAAGTTTAGGTTGTTCCCTCTGTAGGTGAACAAATCCCACCACTTGGTTCATATAGAAAAGGAATACATTGTCCCTTCAGTTCTCTGTTCCAGAATGGAACTGCTCTGAAAGAACTCAGTGCTGCAGCATTCAACACTGACCAAAGGCTCCTTCCTGGGGCTGGATCTTGCCAGAGCCATGTTACTCTGTAGCGTTAGAACTGGCTCCTGCAATGAATATTCCGGGCTGAATGGTTCCCAGAGGACAGCTGGATGCTGTAGTTCCAAAGCTGTTCATGATGACCCACTGCAAGTCCAAGTTTCCAACTGGCCAGCGCTAAAGACTGCTCTTAACTTCAAATCCCAGAGCAGGGTGACTGACTGCACCTTCCTCCTAGTGAAAATCAGGATGCTCTTTCCCTCGAGGCACGGAGACCCCAAATCCTCATTAAATGCAGCAAAGAGAGAGTTAAAGACTTCTTTAAGTAGGCTTCTTCAAAGGAAATGGGCCAGGGCTAGTGATTTTAGGTATCAATAACCATTGAAGTGGGGTGATATTAACAGCTGCACCTTCTTTCTGCTTCTGTTCCCTCTAGTGCAGAGCCAGGAGTTGTTATTAGCTGTCCAATTTGCATGGACTATTACTCAGAGGTAAGGATGCACCTCTTGTCATCCTTTGTGCTTTGTGGGAGGAGGAAGAAGCCAAAAGGGGAGTTGCCCAAGTCAGCTGCCTGATGTGGGCAGCTGGCTGGAAGCACAGCCCTTGCTGGGAAGCTCCACAAGTCCCTTCTTGCTGGTGAATGGAGAGGGACAAGCCCT